ATTGGTCGCAGGGAGGTAATTGGCAGGAGGCGGTCTCTCAAGTATCCAGATCCACTACCATGCAGGGCATGGTAGTGGATCTGTTAATAGTTAAAAGACTCGGGTAGTTGTTAAGTGAACCTGGCTTCCCCCATGGGAGATGGCTGGGAACATTGCCAATGGCCATCATGTAACCCTGGGACACTGCAACTGTTAAAAATACATTCTGCTATCCCTAGGTTTTGATCATGTGATCATGGGGATGCTTCAATAGTCATAAGTGTGAGGATAGGTCATAACTCATCTTTTCCAGCATTTTTTCCCTTTTAACAACCCTGTAATCCCTACATTTGGGGTGGAGTTGGGGCAACTGAATGAAGCTGAGCGTTTACTAGCCAGATGCCCTCCCTGATGCCTACACAGAGTTCACAGCAGATATCTTCTCTCTGCTCCCAAGAGAGAGAAATATCTGCTACTACCTAGGATCGAACTCACCAGCCTCCTGACTGTGAGGCGAGAGCGCCACCTCTAGGCCACTAGGCAGCTCACCTTTTTCTGTACCAATAGAGGAGAATATTTGTAGCTCAGGGTTGATATGAGGGGTCCTTGGTGCCTCTCTGAGCTTGGTTGTCTTTTTGCAGACGTTTCATGAACCAGACTAGGTAACATCATCAGTTCTAGTGAAAACAACCAAAGTCAGAGAATACTGTTGTGGCCTGCCAGCGGATATGGCAGTAGATTCGCACGGTGAGGAAGTTGGAGAGGAACATGGGCTAGTCCTGGAGTCTTGGGAAGGCTCTGCATCGGAGACAGAGATAGGGCCAGGGCCGTCTGACAGTTATCATCTGCCTTCGGAGTCGGACATCAGTGAGGCAGAAGAACAGCTGGAGCCTGTTCCCGATATGCGCATGCACAGAGCTTCCAGGAGAAGGGAACAGCTGAGGAACAAGGATCAACTTTGGAGCAAAGCCACGGGTGAATGGCCCCGCCCATAGGGAATAAAGAGGAGCGAAATGGGAGTGGAGTTTGCAGGAGACCATTAGTTCAATTCATTAGGGTGAAGATCTGTTCCTGACTTCTTGCCAAGTAATTGCTGCTACAGCGTGGCGTTTGGAAGATATCGGCTTGGCAGCTCTCCAAGCCTGATAAAGGTCTGTAGTTGTGAACTCTCATGAAAGACGGTTGGCCAGGAATTTGCTGGAGGGGAATTCACTTTAAATAAAATTGGTTTTATCGGGACGAGGAGTCGGCTTCGTGCTTTTGGGAAGCCTCGGTCAGAACAAATACCAAGGACCTATTTCAGTGCCGTTGCATCTTTGAATGGCCGCTAAATAGACAGTGGTAAGTCGAGGACTACCTACATCACTAGCTAGGATGGAGACAGTTACGAAATGCCAGTCCCCAAAACGGTTTTTTTTTAGAAAGACGTGGCTTTCTCCTTAACCCAAATTTGAGATGGACCAAGTGAAGGAACGGAGGCCAACCGATGTTTGGACCATTTCAAGCAGGAGTGACAGATACTTTTGCTTCCCTCTCCTTCCGCAAACCCCGGAAGGAATCCAGACCGTTTATATACATTGATCATAGTAGTAAGGCCTCACCTGTCCTGAACCTGACTTAAGGCTTGCCTAGGTGTATGAGATGCCGTGCATGTTCACCCAGGTATTTCGCTGTGACGTTGTCTCTCAAACATTTTACTTACGTTCCGGGTCACTGGAGTCCTGCTCACAGATCTCCTTGCTCTTGTAGAATGGGAACTTTCGTGAAAAGATGAGGTTCTTTTTACGCTTGTCATTGAATGACTGTGAAGGAAAAGAGGCATGGCCGAAAAAAAAAACAAAAAAACAAGGACGTCTAATTGTTGTCACACTCATGCTGACAGAACAACTAGGCTGGTAAAAGTGGGGAAACAACTGTGGTGACCGTGTCCAATTTCTTTTCGAGTAGAATAGAATAACAGAGTTGGAAGGGACCTTGGAGGTCTTCTAGTCCATCCCCCTGCTTAGGCAGGAAACCCTACACCACTTCAGACAATCCAACATCTTCTTAAAAACTTTCAGTGTTGGAGCATTCACAACTTCTGGAGGCAACGTTGTTCCACTGATTAATTGTTCTGACTGTCAGGAAATTTGTCCTTAGGAAATCGCCCACCAGCGATTTCCACTACTGGTTTCGATGAACCAGTCCAAACCGGCTGAATACCACCTCTGATTGAGGTATAAGGTAAAGGTAAAGGTTCCCCAGCACATATGTCAGTGGTGGGATTCAGCCGGTTCGCACCTATTTGGGAGAACCGGTTGTTAACTTTCTAAGCAGTCTGGAGAACCGGTTGCTGGAAGAAATCTCCTTTTGTTTTTCCCCCACTTTACAAGGCTAATCCTGTAAGGAAGGCAGGAAGTAAACATCCTGGTGTTGTTTCTAGCCTAATTTTTATTGCCCTGCTTACAGAAACTGCCTCTCCGGTTAACCCTGATTACATTGTAACAGCTAAGGCAAAGCGCCCGTTCACCTGAGTGATGTTAAGTTGGCCACACGGTCACATGACCACTGAGCCACGCCTACGCAGCTGGCCATTTGGGCAGAGAACCGGTTGTTAAATTATTTGAATCCTACCACTGACATGCATACTAGTTGTTTCCGGCTCTAAGGCTGGTGCTCATCTCCATTTCTAAGCCAAAGAGCCAGCGCTGTCCGAAGACGTCTTCATGGTCATGTGGCTGGCATGACTCAATGCCGAAGGCGCTGTTACCTTCCCGTCAAAGTGGTCCCTATTTTTCTACTTGTATTTTTAACGTGCTTTCGAATGGCTAAGTTGGCAGAAGCTGGAACAAGCAACAGGGTCTCACTCTGTTATGTGGTGCTAGGAATTCGAACCGCTGAACTGCCGACCTTCCAATCGACAAGCTCAGCATCTTAGCCACTGAGCCACCTGTGTCCCTTTATTGGGGGACCCAATATATTGAGGTATATTGAGGTTTATTTCCAGGTTGCCTAAAACATATATAAAAATTAAACCGATGCAACTTGAGCTCAGAATGGTTATGCAGAAGCATCGATCCATGTGTGTTATTGGGCATATTAATGCAACTTACAAGGATGCATTTTAAAAGCCCCGAAGAAGTTGTGTCTCAACCAGAAGATGAGGAGATGGGTTGTCCTTTAAATATGGTCAAATTCTTATCATCCAGGACCATTAGCTATGAATTCTTATTCAGCTACATCTGAAAGCTGCAGCCTTTTCCTTTTTTTACTGCTGTATTTTATTGTTTGATATGGTATATATACTCATAATTTATATTTGTGTGCTTTGATGTTGGCATAATTTTTTACTTAAAAAATGCAATGAGCTACCTTGAATCTTGCAAGGAGCTAGCACACAAATAATAGAAACCTATACATATTCATCATCACACATCAATCTGCTCTTTGTTCCTCTCTATTAATATTTTTTTCATCGTTTCACAGTCTTAATAGATTTACAGGCTGTTTAAAAACCTGAAAGCATCCATTCCTGCTTCCAAAACGTGCGTGCATGTGCGTATTTTGGTCACCAAAGTTTCATGCCACTTTTACGCTCCAAGGATATTTAAAATTTAGTAACAAAAGCAAAAACAAAAGGAGAAAAATTATAGACATAAAAACCTACAGTAGTGGTCAAAATTGTGGAAACCTTTTGGGAAAAGTGTTTTTTTGAGGTTTCATGGCTAATAACATCACTTTGTTTTGCAATAGTACCATAAAATTATATAATTATAATTATATATCAATGGAAAGATAATTTAATCAAAAATGTAATGCAACAAAGTTTTTTAATTATCTGTGTTCTATGAAAAGTTATACCCAAATATAGCCAGTAATAAAATCCAGTTAATAGAAGAAATCATTCAATCTTGGTTTCACATTATAATGGCTGCAGAACTAAAAGATTTGGTTCACTCTATGGGAACCAATTTATAATTTTTGTATATCTCATTTTTTCTACGTGTTTCACTTTTCTTCTTTATAACTGCTATTCCAATAGAAAATCCTTCATAAAAGTTATTGCATTACATTCTTGATTAAATTATCTTTCCATTGATATATAATTTTATTGTACTACTCCCCCCAAAAGTGGAGTTATTTCCCATCAAACCTCAAAAAATACTGTACACTTTTAAAAAAAAGGGGGGGGGGGTTCCACAATTTTGGCCACTATTGTACGGACGCCCCCATTATGACTGTAAACACTTGAATTCAACACAATGTAACCATCATGCCAAAAAAAGTACACAAATCATGCCAACCACAATTCATGCAAATGAAAAAAGAAAGGCAGATGTCGAAAATTATAGGCATAAAAGGTTTCCAAATGCAACCTGATTGACGGGTGGTAATATTGACAGAATGGCCTATCGGATCTAGAGAAATTAGAACATGCATCTATGTCTCTCTCTCTCTCTCTCTCTAATTGTGATATCTTTTCCCAGAATTAAACAATGTCATCCGATAACAGAACTCTCATTAGGACAATGATGCTTAAACCACAACTCATTGATTCCAAACTTTCAAAGAAAGCAGATCTAACATTGGCAGGTTAAATATCTTTTCTTTCCATTCACTCGAAAGCTTTGTGATTGCTGTACAAGCAGATTGTCAATATCGAGGCAATAACATTTGCTAAGTGAGTTTTGCCCCGTTTTACGAGCTTCCTTGCCATAGTTGTTCAGTGAATCACTGGAGTTGTTAAGTTAGTAACAATGGTCGTTAAGTGAAACCGGCTTCCCTGTCCACTTTGCTTGTCAGGCGGTCTCAAAAGGAGACACCAACGGGAGTCATGAATATGAGTCAGTTGCCAAGGTCCAAATTTTGATTCCCATGATCGTGGAGACGCCACAATGGTCGTAAGCGTGAAAAAATGGTCATAAGTTACTTTTTTTTTCCAAAGTTGCAACTTGGACAGTCACCAAATGAACTGTTGTAAGTTGAGGGGTACCTGTATCTTATGACAGCACATCCAGTGTCTGATTATCTAAAAGGTGAGATAATGGTGAGCTCTTTGCCCACTTTTGGAGAAAAAAAAAAAGGTATATCTTCTAGAATGTTTAGATCATGGAAATGTCTGTATGTAAAGGTTTCTGATATGATCTGGAATATGTGAACGTATTCAGAAGGTACCTAGTCATAGCAGTAGCACTTAGACTTATATACTGCTTTTTAGTGCTTTACAGCTCCTCTCTAAGGGGTTTACAGAGTCAGCCTCTTGCCCCCAACAATCTGGGTCCTCATTTTACCCACCTCGGAAGGAGGGAAGGCTGAGTCAACCTTGAGCCAAAGAGAATCGAACAGCTAGCAGTGGGCAGAATTAGCCTGCAATACTGCATTCTAACAGGAAGGAAGGAAGGAAGGAAGGGAGGGAGGGAGGGAGGGAGGGAGGAAGGAAGGAAGGACACTTAGACTTATTGTATATACCACTTCACAGTGCTTTCACAGCCCTCTCTAAGCGGTTTACAGAGTCATCTTCTTGCCCCCAACAATTTGGGTCCCCATTTTACCCACCTCGGAGGAGGGAAGGCTGAGTCAACCTTGAGCCTGGCAAGATTCGAACTGCCAAATTGCAGTCAGCCGGCAGTCAGCAGAGGTAGCCTGCAGTACCGCGCTCTAACCACTGCGGCACCGTGGCTTAATTATCAGAAAAAAAATTAAGAATGATCTACACCATAGGTAGGCTGTAGCTTAAGGATACAGGAGTTCAACGCATCGGGATTTCACCAGGTTAAGAAAGATGGGTGTGCTTGATGTCTTCTCCGTGGGGTTGCTCTTATCAAATTCCAAAAGCTGCATCTGGCACAGAACATGGTGGTCAACCTCTGATTCTGTTTGGGCCGTGGGAAGCACCTCTGAGGTGCCCTTCATAGCAGGGGTCGCTACTGCCAGTTTGCTCATGGCTGCGATGTGTGCAGACATGCTTGATATTCATTGCACATGTGCTTGATGTGCACTGCACGCACTTCATATGCACTGCATGCGTGCATCCATCGTCAATAAAAATTGCTCTGAGATGGCACCTGGCACCAACAAGGTTAGCTAAAATCTTAACCAATACTGTGACCCGAAAAAAGCACAAACGTCAAAAGCACGCCGACAAAACCGCGGCGCTAAACCCGCGATGTCAAAAGCGCACCGACAACAGCGCGCCGACAGAAGCGCGATTTAAGTTAAGGTAAGGTTTAGGGTTAGGGTTAGGGTTAGGTTTAGGTTACAGTGCGCTTCTGTCGGCGCGCTGTTGTCGGCGCGCTTCAGCGCTCATTTGTCGGCGCGGTTTAGTCAGGCGCGCTTTTGTCGTTCGCGCATTTGTGGTGGAACCAACGAATACCTCCCCAAAATGTTGGAAATGCGAATCAATACACGGAACATATTACCATTTATGGTGGACCTGTGAGGAGGCTAATTTGTTTTTGGAAAAGGATCAAAAATTGGCTGGAGGCAATAACAGGGGTTAAAAGAGAATGTAAAATAGGAAAAAATAGTTTTTTTTATTAGGAATAATGTCTGTGAAATACAAAAAAGAAATCCAGTATTTAATACTGCTTATAATTGCGGCGGCAAGGATTGCCTTTGCCCAGAAATGGAAAAACAAATTAATTCCAAGCGAGGATGAAATAATAAGAAAGGT